TTGAACCCTGAAACAACCTCTGGGCTGATCTAAGTCAGGGCATGGCTAACTCACAGATCGAACCCTGAAACAACCTCTGGGCTGATCAAAGTCAGGGCACGGCTAACTCACGGATCGAACCCTGAAACAACCTCTGGGCTGATCTACCTCAGGGCAAGGCTAAAGCAAACAGAAAAGTCAGGGCATGGCTAATTCACAGATCAAATTGGAATTAAATATGTTAGGTTTTGCACAGTGAGAAACAAGTGCACTAGTGCTATGCCTCCATTGATTCCCTGGTTCACACTTGCATCATCGTCACCACCATAAGCATCCACCAGGGGCATAACCAGGGGGGAAAAGGCCCCTCCCTCACACTGTGAAAACCTATACATACGTACTGATAGTATATGATCACGTGATTTTCAGAAAATGGCAAAATCATGGCTATGCCCCTGTCCACTGGTATCCCAAGCTTAGTGTTGTAACCACTACTTTACCCTAATCCATATGTTCGTTTATACTAAATGTCTGATAATACATGTATATCATTTAAATGTCACACAATCTTCTCACCTTTTCCACAATATCTCCAGCGGCATTTCTCACTACCTCACACAAGTCATTCTGTGAAAAGCCATCAGATATCCAAAAAGCCACATCCTTATATGTCGGAGGATATTTACTGAAAGGTTTGAATTCATTGATGCTGCCATCTTGGAACTGGTCAAGAAACCTTGGGTCTTCACTCCAGAACAGACGGATGTCAGGAATATTGAAAAGCCGCATGGCAAGCCGTTCAAGTCCAATGCCAAATGCCCATCCAATCTGTTCACTTGCTCCAGCTGTTGACAACATGGAATAGAATGGAATTTTTAGCATCGTTATATGTGTAATAGGAATAATCACTTAGGAGAAGTCAGTAAATTGGATACAGAATAGTCTTCAATTGCATTCAGCTTCAAATAGGACACTTCAATTACAAAAAAAATAATTAATATTAGTTATTATTAATTAATATTTAAAAAGGTATAAAAAAGATAAGGCTAATATTTTCCTTCGATAATGCAGGGAGTGGTTGCCAGCCAGGGGCTCATGCATAAAGAGCTCACAGGCGTGCATTTCACCCCGTCACACTATGGCTGGGAATTTCAAAATGTTGCAGGTAATGCTGCAGCTATGTTCCCACGATGAAATTTGTTGAGCGCAATGTTGCAAGAGCAGAGCGCGATTCAACTTCAGATTTGTTGCATGCAACATTGTGTGCAACAAGTTTGGGGTAGACATGCTGCAACAGTCCTGTTGCGTGCAATGTTGCATGCAATGTTGTACTGTGTGTTGGCACCTTAAGGGTGCAAGCTTTGGCTGATGATGGAAAACTGTAGAACCCAGAAAAAAAACCCACTTGAATCAAGGGAGAGACCCAATGAACTCTTCACGTGTGATGCCTAGTTTAGGAATCAAATCAAGGAGGCAGCATGGTTGAGTGGTCATAGCGTCGATCCGGTGGTGCTGAGTTTGAGTCCCGCTGTGGCCACTAGCTGAGACTGTATTTGTCTGATTCCTGATTAGTTCAGATTCGGTTTCTCGACCATGCTTGTAAATAGCTAACTGGTTTGTCTTATTGCCAGTTGGGATTCTTAACCCACTTTATGTTTCTTTGATCATTCATTTCAGTTTCATTAATTAATTGTAGGGCCATAATGTAAACTTTTGGGCTACCAGTAACGTATATCACCCTCCTAAATAAAGTAAATTTATTTAAAATCAAGATTCCTATAGGAGAACGGCAAGTGCACAGTCTAGGAGTATTGCCGAGATTTGCATTTTACTATGAAAAGATAAGAATGATGATGAGTCATTTACCATTGTTTAGTATTTCTTGCTCCATGACACCACAGCCAAGCACTTCCAACCATTCATTATTGAAATTAATCTCCAGTTCCCAGGATGGATGAGTGAATGGAAAATATGTGTCGACCCAGCGTAGCTCAAGATTCTCGCCACAAAGATTTTCAACAATTCCAGTCAATGTCTGCTTGAGGTTAAATTCTACGAGCTTGACAGACTCTAAGGTATGAACCGCCTGGTTATGTTCTGTTCTTTTGCCGTTCTTTTCAAATAAAGTTATGGGATTCTGAAGTGAAAAAATACAAGATGAATTAATTTAATAATTATTTTTGAAATACAACAGAAAATGCTATTGGGTTGCCTGTGTGGAATATAAGCTGGATATCATTTAAATGTAAGATTTCAAACAAGGAAAATGGATGCAGCCTTAGCAACATGGCCATAGCTACTGCTCGGCTACTGGATAAAGTTCCCATACATCAGAAGCAACAAAAGAAAACAGCTATAAAAATGGCGTCATGGAACATTAAGTTGTCTAGTTAAAAGTGGACTAACTGCACTGGGTGGTGGCAGCATTTTGAGTGATAAAGGTATACCGGCTTTGAGGTCCTGGCGGCACACCCCTATCCAAGTTGGGGTGGTAGTACCCCCCCCGGGACCGCTAGTGAGGTAGGTTAGGGGTAAATCCCTATCCCAAAAAGGGACATGGCCTTGAAGAGAGACGAGAGCCACAATCTAGTGACAAATGATGACAAGCAACACAAGAATATTCCGAAATTGTAAGAGGCAGTTGTGAAATTTAGGTGAAGGCAGAATCTCTCCTCACCCCCCACCCCTCTCCCCCTTCCCCCCACTAATAG